TGTTATTTTATAAAAGAAATGTAAAATGGTTTCCGTGTTTACATAGCCTAATCGAAACACTTGGGAGGTTGGGAGAACACGAGATAAGTTTCCATTTTACCGCATTTCTTCATTATTGATCACTATTGAGATGAAGTACTAGAAATTGAACTATCTAAAGCGATGTAGAGTTTTTATTTACAACAGATTCCACACTTCTTAACAGTACCAGGACCAGGCAAGTACCGAGCATAAGGGAGCCCCTACTCCCCCCCTTCCCGCCTTTCACTCCCCCTAAGCATGTGGATTCAGAGCACTGTAGGAATCACCTTACCCCTCAAAGACTAGAAAATTGCCGACTTATTAAGAAAGGAGCCTCGTACCCTCAGCTGGAAAGCTTAACCCGACTATGGTAACCAGTCGTCATAAGCAAATTACGAAAAAAAAGCCCTCTCTGGTGAACCAAAAAAATGAATTTAAATGTAAGAGATGTGATGCATATTATGCAGGCGATACAATCTATTTACTATGTAACGGGGAGCATAAATACTCCAAATGTGATGAAACAACAGAAGCAGGCCATCTCACATAGCTGGTGGCGTTTCTTGTGTGCTGATGCGACGAGGCTTGAGACAGTGGCTGGTTGTCTGTTCACAAGATGAAAAATTACCATTAAATTGTTTCCTCTACAGAATGCTTTCCTTGAAATTAGCGTAAGTTGACTATGGCTATAACGAGATGGAAATGAGGACGGTGGAAAAAAACCACACTAAAAGTTTTTTCGTCACCAAATATGTGTCGAGAGGGGCGTAAGAGTTTGCCTAAGAAAGATGTAGAGCAAGTCATGAAGTATTTTTTTATCAAGCGTTGCGGTAAACGGAAAAATGTTTGAGCTATCCTTTCCAAGGGCTTCGGCAATAGTATTAGTGTTTTTATGATCTAAGTTCTGGCGAGGAAGGAAGTGAATTCAAGGAAGGTTTCTGGTCGCCTCCCGGTTGATAAGTAATCGAATGATCAGGGTACTTGACCGGCGGCGAGAAGGGACACACTTTAAGTCATTAATTGACACCGAAAAACTGGCGCGATTATCCCTCGAGGAATAAGGAAGCGCTTTACTAAAACTGAGAGATTTCTTGGGCATTGAATTTTTCTCCGCGCGGTTGCTACCGTCCTAGGTTAGGGACTACACTCTGGCGAAGAAAGAGAAGATGGCAAAAGCCATATTTGCATATGATGCAATGGCGGCCGAACGTGTTTTGGGAAGCTCTCTAAAACTTTTAGCTTTCCTGTTCACAGTTGTATTTATAATTCAGGATAATGTCATCACATTTAGGAAACAAGACCCTACCGTCCCACAGACGGTTTCAACATCACTCGAGGTGCTGGGGCTTGCCTCCCACTCAACTCTTCGACCGAATGGCAGGTTTAAATCTCGCGCCCGACGCTTTCTGGCGCTCAGAGTGCAATACCAAAGGGACAAGCAGCTTTAACTTGCAGAGAAATTTGATAGTATATGGGGATATATCGTCCAATCCTGGTCCTAAAAGAACGAAGATTTCGCCAAAATTACCAATGCGGTGAGTCTCAGAAGGCCGCGACTTCAGAACAACCAAAATGTTATCTTGTGTGCCTACTGTAACAACTGGTCGCACTCTTAGTGTCTTCAGATGTCTCGTCTTATTTTTCAATACTAATTAGACAGGCTCGACATTGAGTGGACTTGTCCCACTTGTGCTCTGCCGTGATTCTTTCTTTGCGGGGTTTTCGGAAGGAGAACTTGCCGAAATCAATGTACTGGAAAGGGATCGAGAGAAAGCTACAAAAGAAGATGATGCCGAACGGTCGTTTGGAGAAGAAGATGAGGATATTATTTCTGATAATGTACAATTGGAACTCCTAGCAAAACGCCATAACAAGGATCGCCTATTAGCTCATCTAAACATGAATAGTGTCCAGAACAAATTTGAAGAACTCAGCGCTATTATCAAGACCTTACGCGCTCACATATTGTTTATCAGCGAAATAAAGATTGATGCAAGCTATCCCAACACTCAGTTCTCTATTCCAGGTCACTCTCTCTATCGTAATGACAGAAAAAAGGGAGGCGGTGGAAATTTTTGGCACTAATATCTACATCGCTTATTACGACACAACTTAAACCCGCCAAGAATTACAAAACATTGGAGCTTCTTGCTTTTGAGATCAAGACAGATACAGGCAATATGGTTATTATTGACATTTACCGCCCCCTGAGACCAATGTGCGGTAAATATCAACCATTGCTTGAAAATCAGCTGAGCGAAATTTGCCATTAGGCAAGTTTACAAAGTAACTATGTAGTGGCCATGGGTGACCTGAACTTAGACAGGATGCGTCCTGATAAACCTGAGGGCAAATTGTTACTCGACCTCGAAGTCGAACAATGTTTTGAATGCCTAATTACAAAACCGACAAGAACAGGTAAGAGCAGAACAAAAAAAACAAATACTCTTGTCGAGGTGTTACTTAACAACAGACCGGAGTTATTTCAATGCGCTGGGAATTAT